AACTCTTCCGGATTTTCCGGAAGATTTTATTTTCATATTTAAAGTGGTAGTAAATATATACTATTTTTTCTTTTATAAACATAATTTTTAAATGATTTTGATCACCACTATTCTTACAAAAATTAAGCACATATATCAATATGCGTTACTATCATGGTTGTCAACTTAAGTTTTTTCAAATGCAACGTATTTGTTTGCTTAAAATTGAAGTTTTAATTCCATTTTTAATACCACTGGGAAAAATGATAATGGAAGGGATTAAAAGTTGGCAAGTATGCTACAGAGATGCCAACTTGCTCCCGACAGCTAATATGTATTTTAAAGTGGTAGTTTATCAATTGTGATTCTTTGTTTAATAAATTCAATTGAGTAAATTTTTATCCGCAACTATTTCTAAATAATTCGTAAGCGTATATAATTCACCACTTCATGGTACTTATGTCATGCTATACCTTTTAAAAAGCAAGCGAAATTAGTCAAATATTTGCAAAATTTACTTTGTAGTTATTCACTGTGTTTTTGTTTTTGTTTTTTTTCGTGTTTGGTGCAGTTGGCATTTCTGAATATAGCCTTTTTCCATGGAACAAGAGCTCAGTACGTCAAAATTGTCCACCAAAAGAAAAGACAATGTTCTAAAGTGTGTTTTTTTACATTGAAGAAAAAGTTTTTTTTTGCTGTTTTTTTTTTCAAAAAATCTGTGCGTTAAGGGGTTAACTTTACAATTTTGCTTTAACGCATTAATGTAAAAGTAAATTTCGAGGTGTTTTCCATACGGCATCTGCCTCGTCAATTAAGTTTTTTGCCGTAGGCAAAATGGTTCAAGTAATTCTTGAGAAATCATATTTTGATTCCACAGTTATCTAAAATGGAATAACTCAGAAACATTTTTGCTAATTATAGCTATATATTTTACTTTTATGTTTGAATTTGCTGCAACTGCATAAAATATTTTTCTTCATAATTTTTAGCAAATTAAAAGAAAGTTTTTTTTATAAATAAACCATGGAGAACAAAATAATCAAAATATTGTAATCCCGCCCATAAACAAATTGATAACATAATTGTTTGGCAACAGCATTTAACGTGCTTCTTTGTTGGAAATTCTCTTGTATTACGTCGTTTATCCCCTTGGGGAAGGGTGATTCATAAAAGCATTCCTACAAAATCAGAATCAGAACGTAAATAAATAAAAAACGTTAGCTTAAATGTAGGCATTGCTAATTTGACTGACTTACTTTGATTTAGTTTAATCATATCTACAATCAATGTTAGTTCAAAGTATAACTAAAAAATTTTATTTTGAACTAAAGTAATGGTGAATTAAATAAATTAAACAATTATAACCCCGCCCACAAATAAACTGCTAAAGAACTACTTTAGTTACCAGTTTTATCTTTTTACCCTGATTGATACGGTTTTATGCTGGCATTTATTTGTGACAGTCGGAGCGAAAGGGTTAAGTAATAAATTATAGTAATAGTAATAAAATCTATGCAATAAATAATATGTAATAAGTAATAAATAGTTATAAATAGTAATAAATGGTTGTAAATAGTGCGTAATAAATAGTAATAATAGTAATTAAATCTATATTAAAAATAATAAGTAGCAAATGGTAATAATAGTAATAAAATCTATATAATAAATAGTATGTGTTTAATAATAGTATTAAAGTCTGTGTAATAAATAGTAATAATAGTAAGAAAATCTATTCAATAAATAGTATGTACTAAATAGTTATAATAATAACAGAGATGCCACCTGCTCCGGACATGCCTAAATAATTAAAAAAAACGATAAATAACTACAAAGTAAATTTTACAAATATTTGACTATTTTTGCTTGCTTTTTAAAAGGTATAGCATGACACAAGTACTGTAAAGTGGTGAATTGTATAAGCCTATGAGTTATTTAGAAATAGTGGTGGATAAAAATCTACTAAATTGAATTTATTAAACCAAGAATCACAATTGGTAAACTACCACTTTAAAATATATATTTGCTGTCCGGAGCAAGTTGGCATCTCTGTAATAATAAAGTCTATATAATAAATAGTAATAATGGTAAAAGTCTATGTAATAAATCGTAATAATGGAAAAAGTCTATGTAATAAATAGTAATAATGGTAAAAGTCTATGTAATAAATCGTAATAATGGTGAAAGTCTATGTAATAAATCGTAAAATTTACCTTCAAGCATGTTACATCCTGTTCTTCTCCAACCTGGAGTTGGATAAAAATCTAAGTGCCCAGCAGGCTGGAGCATACCTGCAACTAAAAAACAAAACGCATTTATAATCTAAAAAAATTTACCAGAAATTAAAGAAATTATATGAATAAGTGTTTTCTTTAGCTTTTGTTAAAATTCATTTGTCATATTACTTTAAAAGGTAGCATGCAAAAAATTAAACTTAAAAAAAAAAAAAAAACATTATTAAAAATTTCGATTTTTTTTTCTCGAAAACCATTCAGATTGCTTAAAACAATAACATTTTTTAAAAAATTTACTTTTTATGGGATAAGGTTTTTTTTTCTTGGAAATTAATATTTCATAATTGCTTAACCCATTTTATTCGACTTTTCATATTGAAGTAGTGCAAAAAGCGGCTTTATGAAAAAAGTGGTATAATGTGTTATTCAACTAAATGGCTAATATCAACTATTTGTTACCAATTCTGTCCAATTGTCCCTGAACCTTATAGTTATACATCTAGTGAGAGAAACATAAATCACTAATAAATTATGGTGGAAGGGAAACTTTTAATTCTCCTAGATAAAAGACAAAATTGAAACAATTGTCCTACCACAATATATGTTTTTGAAAAAGGAAACTGTCCTATAAATATGACGCTGGGCACTAACAGGTTAAAATAATAGCATTGTAAAAACAATTTTTCCTATAAAAACAATAAACAATTAATTATCACGAACAATTATTTTATATAAAATAATTACAAAAATTAAATATTAAATCGAATATTTGGTCAATGGTTACATAAATAAACGCTAATGGTGATTTTATATTGTTGACTCTCGAACTTTGACATCACCTTCTACATCAGAAAGCCTCCACATAGTGTCTTAGATGTAATCTGCGCAGATTATTTAAAAAGCAAACCACTTGTGCGCATGAACCCAAATTCTGTTTCAAAAGTGCGTGAGAGATATTTATCATATATGATTGAGATTTCAATCTGTTATGATAAATACCTGACAAGTTAATGAAACAAACCTATCATATTCATAAATTAAACAAATTTTTAGACATATATTTGCTACCACTTTCTAATTTTTAATAGATTTCATATTGAATGGTTCTTTCACTAATTGATTTACCTTCATAGTGGTCTGATCGGACTATCTACAAAAATCCGTATGGAGGCTTTCAGTTACAGGAGGCTTTGACTTTGAGCTCTTCGGGACCAATAGAAGGAGAACGAAGCACTACTTCAAGCTCGCGCGGTGCACAGAGATTATATAAACTGAAGAGTTCGTATTAGTATTAATGCAAGATGTAATACGAAAGTACTAAAGTGAGCTCACATCCGTGTGATCTTGAGCTACTAAAGTCAGAAAGGCTGGTTTCATATAAGATACTCTGTAGGCCGGGATAGCCTGCACGGTATGGCTCTGGGCCCCTGTCCGAGAGTTCGTGGGTTCGCACCCCGCCGGCCGAAGACTCCCAGTGTAGTATATGGTGACTGATGCACGTTAAATCTTTCGAATCGCAAAGTCCTCCATGATCCGAATACAAATCAATACCTCTGGGGGTACTGGATTGGAGATCGATCGTTCTCTGATTCAGGTCAAAATTACGATCTGTGGATGATTGAATGGATGTGTGAATATGTCCGCCCTATAAAAACGGGCAGTGATGAGTGTGTGGCTGAAGACGAATTCTTGGCCATAGGATGGCCCCACTTAAAAACAAGAAACGCTCACTCTGCCTTAAATTCGCTCGGTTTCACCAAGCAGGCTTGCCCTTGTGGCAAGTGACATTAGAAACAACAACAATACTGTGTGCCGTGAGGGAAAAATAGCGATTGGTGAAAATAATATATATATATATATATATANATGTATGTATGTAATTATGTATGTATGTATGTATGTATGTATGTATATATGTAATATCGAATGTCTCATACGAGTCATTTTACATTAAATATAATCTTCAAATAGATTTCACTTATTAATTTTAAGAAGTAGAAATGTTTTTTTTATATAGAGCCATAAAAAGTCAAGATGCCAATTAAAAGATTATTTTCTGAAATTAATGGGTAATAATTCTTAGAAAAATAATCAGTAAGGAATTCCCGAAAATTCCCTATAGTCTGAATGGAGTCATGTTTTTGAAAAAATCAAAATCTATAAAATTTTTACCCGTTCAATCCCGTGTCAATGATGTTTGATTAAGTTAAAGACATTCTTCCAAGCGATTACCTTTCAGAATCCCTGATTAAATAACGGGAGCCACAGAAAATGAGTGGCTATTTCATATTTTCCTGACTAGATAAATCTGTGCCGAATACCAACATTCCTTCTATGGGAAACAATCATTGTCATCCTTGGAAAAATCCAACTTAAGCTGTTAGACAAACTTAATCAATAAGATGCCTATTCATTTGTATTAGTCAGTAGCTAGGATTGTCTAGTCATCACCTCCTACATCAAAAAGCCTCCACACCGTCTTTTATAAGTAGTTCGCGCAGACAGTTTAAAAAGTGAACCAGTTGTGCGCATGAACCCAAAACTTTTTATTAAAGTAATTGAGAGAAATTTATCATATATATTTGAGAATTGAATCTGTAGTGGTTGACAAGTGAATAAGGCAAATCAATAATATTCATAAATAAAACGAATTTTTAGTCATATATATGCTACCACTCTCTTATTTTAACTAAATTTTGTATTAAATGACTCGTTTGGAAAGTGGATATCCTTCACAGTGGTCTGATCGGACTACCTATAAAAAACCGTATGGAGGCTTTCAGTTATAGGAGGCGTTGGTCTAGTCATTGAAGGTATTTTATTATGTATATCGCAACACTTCAAAAGGCAAAAGGCTTACTATAAGATTATTGCAATGCATACCAGCTAACTTTTACTTGTTTCAAAAAAGCTTTTTTTCAATTGGATGTGAAATAACTATTGAAGTGATATTGTAAGCAAGTGCATAGTTCACTTTTCCACTTCGCCTCTTTTAAAACACAATAACATAAACTTTTCCTCTTTATACATGTTTAATTTTTTAAAATGCAGTGGCAGTTAAAAACATATAAAATCAATTTTGTTAAAATGTAATCAAACATGAATGCAAAAATCTTGCTCCGAAATTAAATATGAAAATAAAATCTAATGGAATATCCGGGAAAATTGCAGTTATAAAATTAGTATTTCATAATGAATTTATAAATTACTCATTCATAGATGGAATCAAAACAGCTTAAAATTAAATTTTCTATGCTAAGAATCATACCCTTAGAAAGGAATTGTGTTACCATTAGAAAAGAACTACATAAAATTGAAATGAAGTTTCAGTTAAAAGTATATTATATCAAATTTGTTAAAACAAGAATGAAGTATAAATGCAAAATTTTTGCTTTTACATAAAATATAAAAATAAATTCTTCCATATCAGGAGGAGTTGGCAGGTTTGAAATTAGCATTTCATATGAATTTATAAATTATTCTTACGTAGTGGGAAACTAAATAACTTTAAATTTTTAAGTTACAAATCGTACATTAAAAAAGGAATTGCGTTACCAATAAGAAATAATATCCCACAAAGCGAAGCAAGTTGGCATCTCTGAGTTTATCTCGAATTTTAAAGATCAACAGTAATTGAATACGTTATTTTAACTGCTAGTGCATTCCCTCAGCAGCCCGTTGTGGGCCAGGGGGCTCATGGAGATTCAGGCTCCATAATTGCGTGACTTCGGCATGATTATGGTAATGTCATCAGTTCTGTGCACAGGCATCCTTTACTTATCAGAAAAGCTAGAACCCATTGTCCTGAAGCTCTATGGGCTTCAAGCCTTTTCTGGGAATCGAACCCCAGTTCTTCACAATTACATTACAGTGTCTTAAACCATAAGCCACATTTGCTTTATTTTATTCATAAGAAAACTATATTATGTAACTATATTTTATATCTATTATGTTAATTATAATGAAGCTTCTCTTCAAATACATTCTTAATAAGATTATTTTTTATTTCAAAACTACATATAATACTGATAATATTCTTTCAGATAGACAACAAAAAGATGTCTGAATAAATATGTTTTCAATATTTTGTGTAAAATTTCAATCGAAAGAACTGAATCGAAAACAGAAAAAGCAATTCCGATTTACTTTACATTTTGCCTTTTTACTATTTGTAACCTTGAATGCAAACCATTTAGGTGTTTTTTGCATGTAGAAACGAATATCTAGATTGGAATAGTTTTCCTTTCAGAGAAGACTTCATGTATAATCGAAAAACTTAATTCACTAACCTCTTGATAGAAATATTCGCTTTTTATCATTTCAGTGATTTCGTTTTTTTTTTAATTTCTTTTGGCAGTTTCGTAAAAGAATGTTAATTAAAATTTCGGTTGTTTTTTTTATTTTCGCTTTGTAAAGACTTTTTTTTAATTTTAATAGTTAAGAGAATATTTTTTCGCAAAAACTTTTTTTTGTTTAATTTTATATTAAAGTTACAATATTCCCAAGCAACGCTTTTCAAACTAATTTCTGGATTTTAAAAGTAATGTGTTTCTTTATACTCGAGTTAGAACTTTATTTATTTATTGTGCGAGTACAATTTAATTTATTAATTAATTTTAGTATGTTAACCCCTTGGGGACAGGTGATTCAGAAAAGCATTCTTACAAAATCAGAATCAATTTGCAATTAAATAAAAAACGGTAACTTAAATGTAGTCGTTGCTAATTTGACAGACTTACTTTGCTTTTACTTTAATTGTTGTCAGTTTAATCATGTATATAATCAATGTTAATTCAAAGTATCATTAAATAGTTTTATTTTGAACAAAGTAATGGTGAATTAAATAAATCAAACAATTATAACTCCGCCTACAAATAAACTGCTAAAAAATACTTTGATTACCAGTTTTATCTTTTTACCCTGATTGATACGGTTTTATACTGGCACGTATTTGTGACAGTCGGCACGAAAGGGTTAATCTTAGTCAGAGAGTGAGTATATGTCCACTGTGATCAGAATGCGCAGGGACCAAGGGTGCGCGGTATCGGTCTTCGTTAAACTGT